TCTGGGAGGGAAAGGGGAGGCGGGGAGGAGGCGGAAATCTTTTTTTTTTTTCAATAAAAAAATTATATTTAAAAAAAAAAACTTTCTACTTGTTGAATGATGTATTGGGACTGGTTAGCCATTCTGATTGCTCTAATTCCAGAAAATCCAACAGATGTGGCCAGAAACTAAATTACCACAAAAAGATTCTACCTGAGTATGAACTCAAATAGCTTTGAGCTCCAACTTAAGCATGAGAGGCTGGCTCATCCTGAAGTCAGGAATCATGGTTGCAAGGAAGATTTGAAACCAAGCCTGTATGATCTCAATTATTCATTTACCTGGTGGAAATAGTCATTTCCCCTAGCAGGGTTTTGGTAAGGGTTACATCAGATAACCATGCCAATGTTCAACTGGTATCTGCTATCATCATCAAAGTTATAAAGCAGAACATAAGACTGAATTATGCCAATTTTGATCAAAATGTATGAGTGCTTTTTAAAAAGTACTTCAATAAGTAAGAGTCTATGAAAAAGCCTAAAATGATGGGTGGTTAACTATAGCAATGGACTTGTGAGGTCATGCTGGAAATCTTTATATGACAGAGGTAAACTACTCCAGATATTGCTACAGAGCAGTGTGGAGTGGGGGCACAATGACACCGTGACATTCATCATATACTTCCTGTAATATAAAAGCAAAACCACAAAAGGGCCACAAAAGAAAAACATCCCAAATCAAGTAAGCCAGAATCCTAGCCACAGATACATTACATTGTTAGTACCATATCTGACCTACTTTTCCAAACTGTCAATTTGCTAAAGGACTTTCACACTATCTGACTTTGAAAGAAGTTATTAAAAATGAATGCTATGCTCCAAAACTCAGGGACCACAGAGGAAGAGGGGGGCAGGAAGACAGTATGAGCTAGAAGAAGGTAGGACCAAAAAAGGTCTGGACCATTACACTCATGAATTCACAGCAGTTAGAAAAGACCTGCACACACCTCTAACTCAGGATCTACTGACAGCTGACGGCTTCTGAGGCAGAAAAAGCTTTCTTTAAGGGTTAGGCTCCTGGACTGGCTTTACTGGGCATAGCAGTAGAAGGCCCCACACCCTGGACCACAGGAGCAGCACAGTTACAATCAGTAGGCTATTTAAAAAATGTACATAGAAACCCTGTCTTGAAAAACAAAACAAAACAAACAAACAAATGAAGACAACAGGATATTGGGAGTTGCTGATGGGGTGGATCTGGGAGGAGTTGGGAGAGGAATGGGAGTAGTAAATATAGTTAAAATATATATTGTATGCATGTCTGAAATTCCCCAAACCAAAAATATATTAAACAAAATTATGGTGAGAGATAAACTCATATATAAAAGGAAGTATATTTTCATTTAGGCACTGTTTTATATACTTTCAAATATTACCCAAAATGTAATTAAGTGAATGGTTAATTAATTTAAAAATGAATGTTACAATCATCTTTAAAAGACGTGTGGTTGGTAATCATTCCAGTTTACTGCTATTCATGAAAACATGGTCATCTTTGAAGTGCTTGTCCGGTAGCTAACCAGCCCGCAAATAGATCCTAGCACACTTAGACTCTGAATCTGACCTAAACACTCTATTCTTAGGACTCCCTGGAGCTCTTCTTACATTTTTGCATTAAAGGACAGGCTAATTGTACTACACGGAAATCTGTGGAAAAGTGTCTTAAAATGAACCTGCTCTCCACTACTAATTGCTCAGGCTCAATTCTAGTGAAAAGCCCTTGTACATTTTTCTACAGTCCCCAATTATCCAAGAATGAATGGTTTGATTCACACACCAATTCCTGATGACAATTTAGGTTTTATTCCATTGTAACTATTTCTTGGAATGCCACTTTGAAGATCAGTTGAATAAAAGTCAATACTTCCCTCAGTTTTAAGCAACAAATCTAAATCATGTTGAATATGTCTTATAATGTGGGTGCTGTTACAACAGCCAATTCTCAGATGTTGGAAAGCTGGACAGTCAGAGTCAATGTCCTGCCAACATTACACAATGCTCCTTTCGCAGCATCAGCCTAATGAATGAATGGAGTCCTTCTTTACACCTCTCTCGTGAATGGGAATTCAACATGGTTTACTCAGGGATGGTTCTGGAAAGAGCCAACTGCCATTGAACACGGTGGAAAGAGGTTCATGTTTAATTTCTGTGTGGAAGAAATTTAATTTTAGCCCTAAATGAAAGTCAATGTTTTAATAACATTACACTGGCATCATTCATTCTTCTTCTCCCTGCAGTGCTGAGGATGGAACCCAGAACACTCTTCCACCAAGATACACAGTCAGCCCACTACCACCCATTCTTGAGCATTCCATCACTCAACAAACATTCTGAGCAACTACTGGGTCCCAGACACGTGAATGTTGCTGATATAAATATAAATTTTAGGGGCTGGAGAGATGGCTCAATGGTTAAGAGCACTGACTGCTCTTCCAGAGTTCCTGAGTTCAATTCCCAGCAAACACATGGTGGCTCACAGCCATTTGTAATGAGATTTAGTGCTCCCTGCTGGCATGCAAGCATACATGGAAGTAATGCTGTATATATAATAAATAAATAAATCTTTAAAAATAAATAAATATAAATTTTAAGAAATGTATACCTAGTTTAAAGAGGAAGACAGACACAAAGTGGTGGTTACAAAATTATGAGGAAAAAAAGAAAGATGTGGAAGCCAACTAACAACCACAGAATAGAATTTCTGGCATATTCTCTACAATTCTTTCTTCCAGAGCACATTTTATGACTTCTAGCTGTCTTTACAATAATGCTGGGACCACTAAAGCAATCACATGGTAAGCTTTGTGCTCTTTCCTTAAAATTGCTAAATCAGAATTTAATTATAAAATTATACAGTGGTTCAGCATAATAAAATGTTGTCAAAGACAAAGTGTCAGCCTAGACTTTGTTAGCTGATCTGAAATGTTTTTTCTTTTTGGCAGCCCTGGCTGACCTTCAATGTCTTTCTAATACTTTTGCTTAGACCCAAGAATTGGGGTTACAGGCAGGCGTCACCATGGCCAACAAAAATTTTTATATTAGTCATGATTAATCCCTTCAAATTTAAGGTTATTATTATCTTTGTCATTATTTCTTTTTTAATTTATTTTTATTTTATGTACATTGGTGTTTTGCCGGTAGTAAGTCTGTATGAGGGCACTGGATCCCTGGAACAGGAGTGACAGACAGTTGGGAGTTGCCATATGGGTGCTGGGAATTGAATCTGGCTCCTCTGGAAGAGCAGACAGTGCTCCTAACCACTGAGCCATCTCTCCAGCCCCTGTCAGTATTTCTTAATTGGTTTTCAACATAGATGCATGCACTTGGGGAAGATTGTCTAGCTGTATAAACTATACACTTTGTGTAAATAATCCCAATTCAGTTTCCAATGTAACCAGATTCTCCTTTATTTCAAATAAATTTCCTATTTGTAGAATACATAATAAAAGTCTGCAGATGCGTATTTGATTTACAAACATGAGATGCTAATATTTTTAATGTAACAAACATCTATGTTAAGAATGAAGATGGAATATATACCTTTTGAAACAAGCACTGTCTCCTTGTCATCTAGACAACAACCCCTATTCAGATCCTTGGTGTCCAGCCTATTAACTCTGTTCCCAAACTGGGAAATTCTGGACCAATTTAGTAGATGAAATGTGTGAAAAAGACAAGATCTCCTGAGTAAATTGTGAGCATGGGGATCATGGGAGAGGGTAGAAGGGGAGGGGAGTAGAAAAAAATATATAGCTCAAAAAAAAAAAAAAGTGTGGACCTGGAGGGAGAAAGTTCTCTCTAAGTTCAATCTCATTATTACACTTGAGGTTTTTTTTTTTCCCATTTTGGGTGGTAGTGGTGTGTCAGAAAGGTCCAGGGCAGGAGCGCAAAGACCACAGGGCAATAGAACCAATATGCTAACACTAGTGCACCTGCCTCATTGACAGGGAAGGGGGCTCTACATTCCAAGTGCTCTCTCGCTCTTTTGTGAGATAGTTTTTACGTAACCCACTTGGCATAGAACTCTTTATGTAGCTGAGGAAACACCTTCAGTTTCTAATCATTTTGCCGCCACCTTTGAAGTAGTAGGATTGTAGGTGTACATCACCACACCAAGCTCATTATCTGCTTTTTAAAATTCATACTCTTTATTCTGGAATTGCAGGTAATTCTGATAGGCTAGGATCGGCAGCATGAAGATAGGATAAAAGATGTACCACTATCAACATGACAGAAATACCATTAAAAGCAGACAAAACTTTAAATCACACAGCAGTCTGATACAGTACTAAATAATAACTGCCTGTTCCTTTAATGAAGTCATAAAGAATGAATTACATTCATACATTTGACACACCAAGGTTATCTATAACCCAATTCAGAAAGTCTTTCCAAGATTTTTCAAATGCTGTTCCTCACAAATGTTCTATTTAAATATGACTTCAAATAACAAAATTTTAGGGCATGCATCTTCAGTGATGCTGGAAAAACTTGCAACGTGGCCCTTCTGCTTCCCATTAGGTCTGATGGCCTTTACTGTTCTTTGTGAACAGTTCTGTCTGAACCTCTAACAGTTTATAATACCTCTACAAACTAAGGTTTAAAACCAGTAGGGACCCTCATGCTGACTGACCTCAGTGAGGTCCTGCTTCCCAAATCTCCATGTAACCATACAAGACCTGGCCAGAAAATCTTGTCTTCAGAAAAAGAACCACATCAACCCTGAAGAGCCAGAGCCCATGATCCACGTTACTACAGGAATAGTTAAGAAGGGAAAAGCCCGGCCAGGCAGGGATAGGAGCAATGCTCTGAAGTAAAAGGCTGCGCCTGTCAGGACGTTCTCACCACTCTCAGCTTCCAACAGTCTCATCAGACAAATGGTTTCAGCTCTGTCTTTTCTTTAGTGTCTTTGCTCTCCAAGCACATTCCTCGTAGCTATGCAATGCTCTATTCTCCAAGGGACTGTACAAGATACCATTTCCTTTTCAGCGTTTCTGAGACAGGGTCACACTATGCAGCTCTGACTGGTCTGAAACTTACTATGTAGCCCAGGATAACCTCAAACTGAGCATCTTCCTGCCTCTCAACATGTGTCCCCAGGGCAGTTCACTGATGGGATCATTATAAAATAAAATTTCCTAAACTATAGTGCCAGGGACAGGCAAAAATAAATAAAAATAAATAAAAAAAATAGGGCATACTCAAGCAAGTTTTAAAAAGTTTGTCTAGTTGGATGGTGGTGGCACATGCCTTTAGTCCCAGCACTTGGGAAGCAGAGGCAGGCAGATTTCTGTGAGTTCAAGTCCAGCCTGACCTACAAAGCGAGTTCCAGGAAATGCCCCAAAGCTACACAGCTTCTGTCTTCAAAAGAGAGAGAGAAAAAAGTTTGTCTATAAACTTGGAGAGAAGATGGATACTAAATTATGATTCAGCTAGTGAAACACAAGTTGGGACTTTAATATTGTTTACTAATGTTTTCATACAATAAGCTGAAGCACTATTAATCATTCACTGTATAGTAATATGTATAAACCTCAAACATTTTTCTACTTTCAAATAAACTAATAGGTATTCAAGTAAGGTAGTCACTAATTAGGGAGCACTGGCAAATGATAGACCTAAATGCCTAACTCACCTTCTGAGTGGCTTCTTTTTTCTTTTTATCCTCTTTCTTCCTTTTCTTGTCTTCCATTAACTGTTCTTCCCTTTCTTGCTCCTTCTCTCTGTAAAAGAAGTAACACCAGAAAGGTTACACAGCACATCCATACCCCATAGAGCCATGGGTTTCTTCCTTCATCACTCTGCCTTTTCCTTTTTTTTAATTTCATTTTATTTTAGGGATATAGATATTTTGTCTGTACTATCTGTGTGACTGGTACCTGAGGAGGCCAGAAGAGGATGTCGGATCTCAAGAACAGGAGTTATAGATGGCTATGAGCCATCACTGAGTGCTAGGAATTGACTTGGGTCCTTTGGAAGAACAGCAAGTACTCTTAACTACTGAGCCATCCTTTAAGCCCTTCCACCTCATTTTTTTTTTTTAGACTGAACCTATAGCTTGCTGTTTATAGTAGACCGAGTGGTTGATAAGCCCCAGGGATCCACCTGCCTCTGATCCCTAACCCCCTGCCCTAGAGCTGGGATTATAGGTGTGTACCACTAATCTGGCTCTTTTCTTCCTTCCTTCCTTCCTTCCTTCCTTCCTTCCTTCCTTCCTTCCTTCCTTCCTTCCTTCCTTCCCTCCCTCCCTCCCTCCCTCCCTCCCTCCCTCCCTCCCTCCCTCCCTCCCTCCCTCCCTCCCTCCTTCCTTCCTTTCTTATTTTTGAAAAAACAAAAACATAAGTGAGCCAGATGGTGGTGGCAGTGGTGCATGCCTTTAATCCCAGCACTTGGGAAGTAGATCCCTGTGAGTTTGAGGTCAGTTGGGTCTACAGAGTGAGTTCCAGGACAGCCAGAGCTATACAGACAGACCCTGCCTCACCCCCAACTCCAACAAAAGAAACCACAAGTGCTGGGCATTTGAACTCACCAGCTATCTCCTCAATCCCACTATTTGTGTTTTTAAGGAAGGTACTAAGAGTCCTAGAAATCAAAGTGGTCTCTGTTGGGTGAATTCATAACTGCATTTTTTTCCCTACAAATACAAATCAGGTCAATCAATCTGCTCCATTCAGCAGAAAAAAACAATAACATTAATAGACCTCCAGTTGAGGAATTGTGCTAAATCTTAAGATTATACAATTTATATTACAAATTCAAAGTAACTCTGAAATGTACTATTTATTCTAACTATGGCAGTTAGGATCTTAGGTAATGACACATCAATTCATGGCTTCACAGACATCATCTAGAAAATAATCAAGATAAAAAAAGATTAAAGAAGCAACTAAGGAACTAACAAGTTTGCAAATGGCAAACCCACAAAAAAGAGTTCCAGAGGGACTCCGGTCTAGGGAAGAAGGCAGAGCTAGTCAAATGCACTCAACTACACAAAGCAAAGGCAATCAGTTTTTTTGTTTTTGTTTTTTTCAAGACAGGGTTTTTTTCTGTAGCTTTGGAGCCTGTCCTGGAACTCACTCTGTAGACCAGACTGGCCTCAAACTAACAGAGATCTGCCTATCTCTGCTGGGATTAAAGGCATGCACTACCACCGCCTGGTGGCAATCAGTATTTTTACCCATAGAAAACAAGAATTTTCTACATCAGACATAGCAGTAGGCAATCCCACCATGTGGAATGCTTTGGGAAGTGGAGTAAGAGGGATTGTTGAGTTATAAACTACCATTGGCTACATTAAGTGACACTTCATCAAAAACAAACAACCCACAAAGCAAAACAGTATTTTTAAAAAACTATTTACTTTCCTGTAAACTATCACTAAATCCACATACACAAATATCAGACTTTTTCTCCTACACTGCTGGGCATAAATACACAAGTTTTATATGCAAAACTCAAACTCCAAATGTAACTTTCATATGAAAATACAACCAAAGGCAAACTTTTCTTGAGCTCCCTTAGGTCCATTGATGGTTTTCCCCAGCTGGGACTGTGTGCTGTGTATGTGAATCTGCAGCAGTACAGTTCGGCCAGTGCTGGACAGAGGGTTCAGGGCTTAAGAGCACTAGCTGCTTTTTTGAAGAGGACATGAGTTTGATTCCCAGCATCCATATGACAACTCACAACCAATGCCCTTTTCTTTCCCTTCCTGGGCACTAGGTACTACTCATATAGTGCATAAATATATACACAGACAAGACATCTATATGCATCAAATTATAATAAATTTTTGAAAAAGAAACTGGGACGGATGGGTGTGGCCATCTAAAGGGGTTGCCCAGTCCCCTAAAGGGGTTGCCCAGTCCCCGTCACAGTGGCTCTAGCAATGCCGCTCTGCCTCTCATCAAGCGGAAGGAGAGGACGAGGTCCCTATCACCACAACTGAGTCCCCACATTTTATAGTGATACTGGCTACAGAAGAGGAAGCCATAGTCTGAACATCTCCTGCTTAAATATTTGGTGCTTTGAAAAAGCAAGTTACCATTTATCCTAAGTATAAAATTTCCAAAATTAAATTTATATTAAAATGCCACACTAAAATAAAAAGGTCTTAATGAGATACATTCTCAAAAAACAACTAACCTTTTTGAATTCTTTCCTATAAACAGGTAATTCAGGGAAGAGAGTGAAATTCATGCTCAAATAGAAGGATACTTCTTTCCAAAGCAAATACTTTTCAAAGCTTTCTAGGACACAAGCTTTGCTTTCTCCGTTTTACTTTTCTTTGAGTTTTTCAGCAGCATCTTGGTAGAATTTAAGTCGTCTTACTTTTCACCTTCTTAGGGAATTTTTACTTTGCTAAATTGTATTTAAAAGCCCACCTGACTTGCTTGAATCAAACGGCGTAGGACTTGCCTCTTACTTCAGGTGTTACCTATCTAAGCTGCACAGAATTATCATTTTGAAAGCTCTAAAGATCTCTGTGCTGACTCAGAGCCCAAGCAGAGTGAGGAGGACACCCACTCTAGCGGCAATGGAAAGGCACTTGCATGCAGAAGGGTGACAATATAGAAGGGCAGTAAAACAACAGCAGCCAGATTTTTCAGCCTCAACAAAAAGGAGCTACAAAAATACAATGGGGGAAGAACAAACACATGGAGTTGGATCTAAATTGGTTAGCAGCAAGTACTCATTGTTTTCAATAAACAGAGACATAACATATACATGTGCCTATTTTCTCCCTTCTCACACCCTCCCTCTGTGTATCTGTAACTATGAGGCTACAAAACAATGAATACTCAAATAGTAAGGAGCCTACTTAGCACACAGACTTGCAGCTTTTAATTACCATTCTTTACTAAAAGAACCACAGTTATTTGGGGGGAGGAACCAAAATGCTAATTGGAGGGGTTAGGTCCAGGGAAGCGTACTATGAAAACAAACTGCCTGCCACAAAGTAGAAATCCTTAAATTAGAAGACAGATTGATGGGGATTCTAATCTATGGGATGACATAAGATCACTGTAAGTATTGCTAAAAGAGGTTATAAATCATGTAAATTTGTAAAACAAAGGAGAAATAAGAAATGAATAAATTATGAGAGGTGAATGGAATGGAACCTTCAAAGAGCTTAAAAGCACCTACCCACAAAGTACTTTTCAGTTTTGAAGGGGAAGAGTAATAGTAGGCTGGGAGATACAACCTTAACCAAATACTCTATCACCCATTATCATCTATCACCATGGGACTTACCTATCAGACAGCTGCACCATGAAAGCTAAGAGGCAAACTACAAAGCAAAAGGTTGGAAAGCTTCCCAGGTCAAAGTCATGGAAAACTTGAAAACTGCTGTGAGTAGAGGGAAACTGGGGGGCTAACACCAAAACCATCAGGCAGTCCTTTTGCTACAAAGGCTCAAAAAGCTGCAGTTAGGAGGCAATCATGGGAGGGATATGCCTTCAATAGGGCAGAAGAGTCAATGGCAGCAAGGAACCAATATTGACTTTGCATTTTGTTTTGGTTTATTTTGAAGCAGAGTCTCACTGTAGCAGCCCAGCCTTGGACTCACTATGTAGTCCAGACTGGCCTCAAATTCAAGCAATTCTCCTGCCTCCACCTCTGGAGAACTGCAATTACAGGTGTGAAGCACTGTGCAGGATGAGATCTTTCCTTCTGGTGGTCATACTGCAGGAGTACAGGAGAATGTTCTGTTTGCCTAAAAACTCTACAGCACTGGTGAAGAGCTGCATGTGCCTGGGCACCAGGTCAGTGGCTCATTCTCAAAACAACTCAGGAAAAAAAAGAAAAAGACTTTTCAAAATCATACAGATTTGAACTCTAAATTCAAGACTGTCACCCTAAACAACAAACACAAAACTACTGCTCAGGCATCATTCCAGCTCAGTGACATAAGATCGCTAGGGATTTCTTTAAACCACCCCCTCCCAAGTATTCTAACAGGCTTGAAAATTGCTGACACAAATGTACTCATTAAAATCGACATATTGAAACTTTACCAAATGTTGGGGCAGTTAAGAGCACTGGTTGCTTTCTCAGGACTCAAATTTATGTCTTGGCAGCTATACAACAGTTCACAACTGTCTGTAACTCCGGTTCCAAGGGATCTGACACTCTCACAAGACACACATGCAGGCAAAACACTCAGGCACATTAAAAAAAAATAGTTGGGCAGTGGTGGCACATATCTTTAATCCCAGTACTTGGGAGGCAGAGACAGGTGGATCTCTGTGAGTTCGAGGCCAGCCTGGTCTACATAGTAAGCTCCAGAACAGCCAGGAGTATTGCACAGAGAAACCCTGCCTCATAATAATAATAATAATAATAATAATAATAATAATAATAATAACTACTTTACCAAGCGTGCAAACTAACAAAGGAAGGAAGGAAACAGAGAAGAGAGAGAGATAGATGCCAGGTGAGGTAAGTTCCCCTTAACCATCCACAGTTTCTAAGTATGAAGGACAGGTGGATGTTTCTTTTGTACCTACCTCTTCCCTTCCAAACTGCTACCAAATCAATTCAGCAGACTGTATTTACTGAGTTCCTATGACTTGCTAGGCAATAGTGTCCACAGGTGACTCAGTTTCCAAATATATATGGAACCTAGGGCCCTTCAAATCCCTCACAGCCCCCAGGGATTCTCATCTGTTTACCCCAATGTTCTGCACACATCTCTTTCGTGTGGGTCTGGACATAAAAGGTG